ATTAACCAATGTCTTTGCTTCTGACCTTCGATGATCCAGTTCAACCGTACTAATAAGCACAAATTACTCTAGACAAACATTTGTGTCTTTTTTTATTTGTGTTGAAATGTCTTCTTCTGCATTCTACTGTACGGACTAGGGCTGCACGATTAATCGCATGCGATATTTAACGCGCATCTTGTCAGAAAAGCCGGTTCTGTAATCAGCTGTAAATCTCCATCACCTGCGGGTTTTCACATTGAGCAGCATTAACTTCATTAATATCGCATGCGATTTATCGTGCAGCCCTAGTACGGACGTAAATGTACTTTCCCTTCAGCCTGAGGCTTATTCATTTCACTTTTGGTGTGAAAAGGCTTTTATATTTGCCAAAAATATTACTTTTTTATTTTAAAAACAAACAAGCAAGCCCTGCCAAGATTTAAAAAGTAACGCAAAAGTAACGTAACGCATTACTTTCCATAAAATGTAACTAAGTAACGTAATTAGTTACTTTTTTTTGGAGTAACGCAATATTGTAACACATTACTTTTAAAAGCAACTTTCCCCAACACTGGTTGTAGCCTATATATTATGCTCTATTCATATTCATCCTCGCACTTTTCTACTCAATTTTAAACGTTGTTCTTGTATTCAAATTAAGTGCAGTCCACTGCTGCACACGTGCCACAATATCGATACTGGGACAGCTTATGCTCTATTCATTCTTTTTTAGAAACCTCGCACTTTTCTGCTCAATTTTAAACGTTGTAAGATTTTAAACAAATTAAGCGTGGTCCACTGCTGCACACGTGCCACAGTATCGATACAGGGCCAGCTGTATCGATACTCGTATCGTCAAATCTCTGTGACGATACATCGTCGTATCGAACACAGCACTAGTACACATGATGTTGGCCATATTTGAGATTACACAACCCAAAACATATGGCTTCACATTGGGTTCCAAGAACTACTGCTCAACTCGCACAGAATGTCAGATTTGGCGAGACAGTGTCTAGACCAACACTGAGACTGTTATATGCTTTCAGCTCTATAATATAATGATTAGGGCTGCACGATTAATCGCATGCGATATTTTACGCGCATCTTATCAGTAAAGCCGGTTCTGTAATCAGCGGTATGCGCGTTAAATATCGCATGCGATTAATCGTGCAGCCCTAATAATGATATATTCAAAAACATGCATGGGCACATCAATGCTATGTTATAGCACAAAGACAAATGTGAAACATGAAATGAGGAGGTAATACACCTTTAGCAATAGGGTTGCAAAAAGGTGGAGAATTTTCAGAAATTTCGGAAACTTTCCAGGATTTTTTTTTTTTTTTATATTCCAGGGATTTTTAGAAAGTTTCCAGAAATTTTCCATCTCTTTGCAACCCCCTATAATGTCTGTGGCTACAAGAGATGGCTGATCACACAATCATAAAAGTGCTAGCCTAGTTTGGCTGTAGTTATATGCAAAGTTCTAAATAAAAAAAAAAAAGAATTCTGAAAATGTACAAAAACAGAAAAAAAAAAAAAAGTAGAAGTAGTATGCACATACAAAACAAATCAGGCACAGTTGCAATGTCAAAAAGAAATTGTGAATACTGATTTATTACTAAAAAAAAATGTATTGGCTTATTTTATTTTCCTTTAAAACAAAGCTAGGCCTAATACTTTCATTACAACAGCATAAACCACTAGTGCTGCAAGGACACCATGTTTGAGCACATGAATGGATTAGGTCTGGTAGCTGCCTGAAGTAAGTCAAACATGAAAAGGTGTTGTGAATTTTTCATTGAATGAGCCTGTCTGTGACAGAGCAACAAAATGCATGAAATGGGTCAGTATGAATACAGCTGATTTTACAAAATTAAGTAAGAAACTGTGATTATTTTGATTCTTGAACTT